TACAATAGTGACCGCCGATCCCCATTAACTAGGTCGCTGTTCAATGATGTCATCAGCTTCCATTGTGCTGCACGTTTATCGATAACTTCTTGTGCTCGAGGGTTTGCACGGTACGGTGCCCGATCAACTGGTTCTGTACCGGGCTCGAGCGGAAACTCTGCTTGGGTCAAGGTGCATTTCCCCAGTTCGTTCGCCGATAGGGAAAACACATTCCTGCAACGGGCACATAAATCGAGAACTTGTGAGCATTGTTGGGGCGAAAATGTGGCATCCGGAAACGCTTTCTTTATCGCCTTGTTCAGCTCATCGCTCTTTTTCCTAAAAGTCTGATGATCATCGTTGAAGGCGCCAGTCGTTTTGCAGACACCGTCTTAACTGGAGAAATACACCCCAGAATAGTATCCCGGTCCAGGTGAACATGTCTATCAGACGGGTTAGCTATCTGAACCACCGCTGCCTTATCAATTGCCGACCAGTTACGGACTGTTCGCGGGACAACGATGTGGCGGAATGCTTGAGGGGTATCATCAGATAATTCAAGATCATCGGCAGTGATAATTCGTGGCTCAACGACTGCAGGAGTGGTCTCCTTTGGGGCGTGGCTCGTCACGACATCAACGGCCATTTCATGTTTCGGAGGAATGCAGTACTTCCTACAAAGATATACTGACACGGCTCCTTGGGACGGGTCACGTGTCACAACGGAAATTTGTGCTGATGCACTGTCATGTTGATATGTTTGATCCCGTGGTCGACGGTGGGTTGCGGGTATTTTCAGCACAGATTTCTTGAAAGATAATTCTTCACCACACCAGTCTAAAAATGCGCCAAAGGCGTTCATGATGCTGTTATCTAGCAACATGTTATCTGGACCCAGGTTCGGTAAAACCAATGCTTCTACTGGTAACGTGATATCACCTAGTGTGAGATTGAACCGTAGGTATCCCAAAATTTCAAGAGGCGACCCGTCAGCACTTGTTAATTCAATCGCTCCAGGTGGTACTGGACGAAGCTTTTTATTTTTTAGTGTGGGGTGCTCTTGCAAAAATTTCGCTGATGATACAGAAGGTACATCAACGGCTGTGTCGGTTGTAATTTCTTTAACAGGGTGGTTGTTCGCCCGAGCGGGAACATGTACCCGTTTCGAGGTGGACTTCACAACGCAATTGGAAATTTGGGGTCATCGGACTTTTCCTTCGGAGGGCTGCTACCACCCGAGGGGCGCGAAGCAGGCATGCGTTCCGGCGGTGTCCCACGTGCCGGCGGGGTTTTCGAGCGATTAACGGCGAGTCGCTCCATCTCGCCTTCCGCCGCAAGGCGGCGTTGCTGCTCCTCGTGCCTCATTTCCTATATGCCGCGTCTGCCTTGTCGCGAGCGCGTTGAACGGCTGATTTTTTCGCCATCTCTCACCTCTACCTCCAGTCCCAGCAGAGTATCTTGAAATCGTCGACGCCAATTAAGGATACAGGCTTCCCTCGTTGGGGGGAGACCCGGGTCGCAGTAGTCTTTACCCAGTACGCAGGGCTGGCAGTTCTCTTCGTTGAGATTTAGAGAGGAGAGTGTCTCAGAAGAGAGAAACAAAAGGGAGAGTGCCGCCGAAGGGGCGAGGGAGACCAAGCCCGAGGGTCTCGGAGTCCCAAGCTCTACAGTGGCGCCAAGAGGGACGCATCTATAGTCGGGTCTCTTGCTGATCAACCATCAGTAAGATCCTCCGTTCGGATCGTATCTTGGTCCTGCTTTTGTATGTGCAACAACAATGGTAACAGCACTTCTACACCTGTCATCCACATGTGTGCAAATCATATATCGTCTGTACTCTACATCAGATTGAGTATTAGCCGATGGCTGTCCGTCCAGACTATGATTACCGCTTTCTCCTTGACAAAACCGTCGTCGTACGGGTGCAACACGATTTAATGCACGCATACCTTTTGCACACAGGGTTGCACACCGGGATTGATTGGTTGTGTGCGAATATTAATCTTGTCTGTGCTCTCTACACCACCTTCAAAAAGATACCGAGGGTCTCGTAGAGGACTAGCGACGTTACCAATATTAGTACAGCATCGTTATCACCCTGGAAGAAGGAAAAACACTCATCAACAAGGTCGGCAAGGACCATCAGCCCGCCATGGCTTGTGTGTACAAGGGCCATCAAGACCCAAACTTCGCGGTAGAGTTGATTCTGTAGAAATGTGTCGTGTTGAGGTGCCCTGTACCCAAGGGTCGTCTGCAGGCGGTTAAGCCTTTGTGCAGTTCCAGAAAAACATATCTGTGTGATGTGCAGACATAAGTGTGTGCAGACCGAAGTGTGTGCAGACCGAAGTCTGTGCAGACCGAAGTCTGTTGAGGCAGTGACCGAAGTCGATGTTCTTGCTGAGTGCCGCTTTTGGGCTTGTACTTTCTTTCTTCGTCAGCTTACTTGCAGAGGAGAGGTGTTGAGGGATAGTTGGGAGTGAGTCTGGTGGGGCTCGCAACACTTCGTGATCTCGCTACAATTACAATCCTCGATTCAAACATCAATTCACTCATGAGCTCCTCGCTAGAACTCTTCGCTACATCTTACGTTCTACTAATAAACGTCATTCATCACACCGTATCTACGTATCATTGCACACAGCAATGATACAGCTGCATCTATTCTACTACACACATACAGCAGGAATGCATTGTATTTCAACAACTTCACCTACTACCTTGTCCTGCTCTCCATTGCCACAGCAACGGCATGCTTTCGGGCACGTGCGACCTTCGTGCTGCTCTGCATGTCTACCGTTTTGTGTTAAAGTAATCCCATTTCGTAGCAGTCGCTCGCAGTTTCTACCCACCCTTCGCCCGCTCCAAACTGACGACCTCGATCGGCCGTCAGTTGGCTGAAGGATTCCGCTGCCGTGCTACCGTCACCATAAGCACCGGGAAGGTTGAGCTGTTCCTCCCTTCCAGTGTACCCCCGATCTACTGTGCTATGTAGCAGAAAGAAAACACATTACTTCAACTATAGCCAAAACATCACCCACCTCGAACAACGCCTCCAACACGCCGGAGAGATCGACACCCGCCCCCGGTCGCTGTACGGGCAGCCCAACGAAGTCGACGGGTGATGACTTCTGATGAGACGCGTCAGGTCCAGTTTCCCCAGAGGAGTCTGAGACGGCGGCCCGTGACCGCTTCACGCCCGCTTTGAGCTCAGCAGCCCTCGCCTCGGTGCTGCGATGCACGTGGAAATGGGGCGGCGGGTTGTATCATCGAGCGCGAGAGGGGCAGAACGTGGGACGAGTAGGCACGATTGGACCTCGGACCGTGCCGACGGTAACACCAGTGGGGAATACAAGTGTCCAGTTGGAGCAACCGTCTATCACTTGTTCGAGGACATTGAAAGAGCTATTTCTGAAAGGAAGGCGAATGAGGCTCAAAACTAGGCCAGCCACAAGGTCCTTTGAAAAGCAGTTCCACAGAAGCGTTCAACTCGGTCTTCAGAGTATTCTTACGGGGTGTCGATTTCTTGTCTACATGTGCAGCGCAACTCACTCACTCCTCGCAGCCGGCAGAGTAGAAAACCAGCGAGGAGTGCCCGTCTCGCAGGATGGCGCGTGGGTTCTGCCCAGCTTGAGCCCCAGTCAGGCGGAGAGTACGGTCCAGTACAACTCTCGTTGGCTGCCTTGTTTGCCCCTCATTGAGGGGCACCCTGCGGACCTACACCAAGTCGGGGCAGGGGTAACAGTGTGAGCTAACGTAACAAGGAGAGCTTAGACGCGAGAGGGCTTTCCGATCGCGCCATGATATCATCCCAATACCCGCGGGTGCTAATGGAGCACCCCTCCATTGGATGTGGAGCTAGCTCACACTTGTAAACGAGAGGCTGCTGGTCTTTGCCTCAAGGCAAAATGTGTCGTCAAACCAAACAACAGGCCGTGAGTTTGTCCCGCCTGCCCGCCGCCTTCTCTCACTCTGCGTCCTGCCCCCCTCCGCCCTGTTGCTTCCTGTCTGTCACACCTCTTCCTGTTTTGCACTATTCCTCACCCCCACCCGCAATGGTCAAACAACGAAGGCAGCGAAACACGAGTACGCCCCCCCACCCGTTTCACCCTTTCGCCACCATGAGGGATGGACTTTTTCAACCCCCCTTACCCCCGGCCTCTTTCCTCCCCCCCTTCCCTCTACCCCCCCGTGAAGCCCCCGCCTACCGTGAGGGATGGGTCGTCCCGTACAACGGTGCCCACGCCCACGAGAACGGCCTCACAGTCTCGACGAATGCGGTGTACTGTAACGGGGGGGGGAGGGGGCACGAGAAGGCAGACGGAGAGAACAGGCAACGAGTACGGCCATGTTGGTCAATCCCTCTCTTGGGAACCTCCGCTGCCTTGTCTCGCCTGTTGAAATGTCGTTGCAGTGAGAGGGGGCAGCACGTCTTGTCGATAATGTGCAAAAAGTGGGTAAGGGGAGGTCACTACATGAGCTTCGGCGCGCTCATCAAGCCCATTAGAGCTTGTGCATTCTCACTTTTCCTCGGGGATCTTGAGCGGTGAGAGGGACTGCTGCTGCACGGTACGGCCGAAAATCTTGTCAACCACGAGTACAACATCTACTCGTCGAGCCCATGTGCCAACCCATCGCCATTCCTTGTGGCGCCTGCAACCTGACACAGCAGTGACTGCACCTTGGGAGTAGTACATCGAACGGGTGCACAACGATTGCTGCATAAGTACAGAGGAAGCAACTACCCGCTACCGTTGGACGCTTGTCTCCTCACCCGCATCGAGAGACGCCTGCGATGTGAACCTCTTGGGACCCTCCGACATGTCGTCAACAGCCCCGTTTCGGTCCATCGCCAACTTCAGCGTTACTGACGGCATCCCTTTCCCTCTCCTGCGACTTTCCCTCACTGCCGCCCCTCCACGCTCGAACCTCGTTGCCCCCTCCGCTATCGGTGTTCCTGCCGCTGTCGCTTCCGCTGCTCTGGATGCTTCAGCTTCCCCTGCTCGTCCCGTCGTCGCTGCTGCTGCTGCGGCTGCCGCTGCAGTGGGCGCTACATCTTTTGATTGGGTCGCTTCGCTGCTTGTTCTTTGAGGGCCCGCTTCTGACACCATGATAAGTGTCAGGGACCAAGAGGAGGGAGATTGACGTCAGCGAGAGGCCGAAAAGACACATCGCTGCAAAGCCTTACCAACAAACCCACTGACCACGATTTGAGTGTGTACAAGTATAAGTATGCATATGCGTAGTAGTTTGAACCAATACCCCCGATGTCTGGTTGGAGGTACAATAGTACGCCAAGCATATCGATATCAGTGTCGACGGGTGTTAACTCTCAGGTTGTCCGTGTACGTGCCATAACTTGCGGACTATGCGGCCCTACCTCACACCCCTTGCAAGGGTGTTGACAGCAGACCCATGTATATATACATTTACGTAAAAAACCACACCCATCCGCACTCGGTAGACCACTGACAACCATGCGGATATCTCACAATACCCGTATCTGCCCTTACCACTGCGGCCCCAATGATAACATGGGAGTGGCGCACCATGTTGTTTTGCTATGTTTCTGCCCATCGCAGTGGCAGCCACGTCGCCGTTGCTGTTGCCCCTGCAGTTGCTGCTTGACGGACAAGGCGGCAACGCCCGAAACACTCGAGCGTCGAGAGAACCTTCTTGACAACGGCCGGCAACTGCGAACTCTGACAATGTCTCTTGCGGAAGCACAGAAAAAGCAACTGCTGCAGTCCATACGTCAAGCCTCATGCAGCCCCGGCTTTGCTTTGGGTATGCCCAAAGGTGTGTGTTGTGGTGTTGTGGCGTTGTGGCAGCGCCGGCGATTTCGGTGGCGTTCGTAGAGAGGAGGTATAAACGAGGCATTGTGATTGGCCCAGCGTATTGTAACGTGTGACAGTCCCGTGCGGTGTAATCCGTGGTGCATCGTTGTATCGGTCCGTTTGACAGCTTGACAGCACGCCCGCACGCCGACCGCGTTAGGTGCGTGTCTTCATTGCAGCGTGTGAGCGCGATTCCCACAAGTATCGACGGGCTGCTAATGGGCTGGTCGTTGAAGAGACGTCAGTCTTACCTTGACCAAAAACGTACCATATAAGCCCAACGGCACCGCCTAATTAGTTTCTGACTGTCATCGGTGTCTTTTGGTCGGTCGACAAAGAGCGTTCGTTGGACGTGCTTGTCCTAGCACGTAACAACGTCTAGCCGACTGGAGCAGCAATGCTACATGTCATACATAGATAGCTGAAGCGCGGTATCATCCGGCGAGGTACGGGGCTATTTTGCAACGTATGCAACCGATTGGACCGGAAACGAGAAGCAGTTGGACTCGGGAAACGAGCGCGAACTTCACCCATTCAACTCTCGGACGCACTGGCTCTGGGGACCTGTGGGGACATCGTGTTGGTGTTGTGATGGGGTGTGGGTGCTCGACGCACAAAAGGCGTGTCGCTGCTGCAAAAAAGGTGTGGATGTATTCGTTGTGCCAATCCTATGTGGATAGAGTGATGTGCCAATCCAAAGTGCGTGTCGTACAATATATCGCTGCTCTATCATTGCTGGTGGTGTGCCCCTTGTCACATCACTTCCGTTCCGATTACCATACTACAAGCAAGTGTACAGCAGTAGTGAATTGCGGATACAAAGGTTTCAACATGTATTCAAAAATGAAGATTATTGCCAAAGTCTACTGTGTTGTATATTCCAAGAGAACGTGATATGCACAGCGGTACTGCCTCCTATTCACTCCACCTAGGGGGTGCTACGACATGGAGCTGATCGACCAAACACATGCAGAGTATTTTAGGAGGTACTTGTTTCGGCAACAAAAGTCGCCGTGGCTTTCATCTAGGGGCGTTGTGTCCCGGAGTCTGCAAGAAAAAACTTGCACTTATGCAATAACTGACCGTCAGCAGGAGATGACCTTTGTTAACCTATACGCCTTCGTTTGATACACGGGTTAATTATCGTCCATTCGGGATAGATCAGACTTCGTAAGAATTTTTCCGTGGTCCTCGGTGATCCCCATGAAGCCCTCCTTAACGCTCATCGGCATAACTGGTAGCTTACGTAACTCGCACGGCGGTGGTTCCCGAGCAACCTTATCATGGCAAACCTTACTGACTGTCGCCTGCGTTCGAAAATGATGATGTTGACGTTGCGAGGAGGAGGACCAAGGAACCAGTGTGCAAACGGTCGGTACGTTCACCCCAACAACTCCAAAGGCAAGCCCTCACGCAAACAAACCCACTCCAGCACCATCACCACCGAAGCAACAGCGTGAGTTCCTGAAGGGGATGTCACCGTCGTCATCCTTCGGGGGGGACACGTTGGGACCATCCCCGGTGACTCCGGAATCGGCGAATGTGTTAGCCGCCACTGGCACACCGCCACCGACCGTATCGCACGAAAAGGGGAGCGATACTGCACCAGAAAGCGACGTTGCTGTAACGCTAGTGGGGGTGGCGTCTTCAAACAGTGATCACCGATTGGGTGAAGCTGAGACAGGCGCGATCAAGGATGAGACCGAGAAAGAAGAGGGACGCATGTCGAGAAAGAGGTCTATCAAGTTGGTATCACAGCCTGGAGAGCCTCAGGTAGAAACGGGGGCCGTATCTCGGCACATGTTACATATGCTAACCAGAAAGGCTACCAATATTGCTACTATCAGCTGCCAGCAAACAGTTGGCCTGGAATACATATCTTTTGAAAACCACACAAAATAAAGTACCTAGGTTGATCAGCTCTTCCAAATCAGCGGGCGTGTACCCGAGCCGCGCCCCCCATTTCTTGAGAACCCTTACTTAGGCAACTTGCTCGTAGGCGAACGCACGTGTCCTCTACCGTGGAGCGTCGCGTCAATAGCCAAAGCAACCACCCCTTTCTCAAAACACACGGAATGCAGGTCCGGCTTCCAAGACTCTCCAACCAAGACAGCTTGCCGCAAATAGTGCCGACAACCAGAGGTTCTGCCGATCTTCTTGGCATACTCAGCAGAGGAAACACGCTCGGGCCGGGTCTCGACACCGCTTTTCGGGAAGATCCTACATACATTGTGGTCCCTACCGAGGCCGCCACCGCCGTTGCCGCCCACGATAGCGGGGCCATTAGCAGCAGCGACAAGCGCAGCGAGGATAGGCCAACAGGAGTGATTGAAATCCCGGCGACACACAGGAATGATAACACGATCAATGAGGTGAGAGCCAAGCACTATACCTCGTGCCTCGGATTTTTCCAGGCAGCGGTCAAACGGTTGCTGATAATGCTTTTGTTGCCCGTTGTTGCCAGATGAGCGCACCGGATGCTCAATCCACCAGCACTGCCACGGGATCAGTCTCTACGTGTTCGCTTCATCCTTGACAGACGGAGAGAGCGGCGTATGTCGCACACGTTCATGTCACGTTCATGTAGCTTTCGACATCACGAAACTTCCATGAATCGGTAAACGAGTGGAGTGAAGCATTCCTGATTCCATCTTCTTCCTTGCTCTTCTTGCTTATGGGACCTGGAAACATAGCCTGTCGACAAAGGGTTTGGTTCCTACGGAACCACGAGCGTTCTGGGTCCATCATCATGTCTCGAAACGGCGGCGGTAGTACCGATTCAACACATGCATGAACGACTGTTGAGATGTTGAGATATGTTCACGACCGGTCTAATTCGACCAAGTTCGATCGACTGCTAGTACATATGACAACCCCTGATGTGACTTTGGAATCTTGTTCTGGACAACATGATGATCTTATGCAGGAGTTTGTCATGACCCCCGTAACGCCGGAAGACACACTCGACAAAGGCGTCCTCGAAGAGCAAAGGCCTGTGAAGGATAGATGGCCATGGAACAATCGGGCAAGGGAATCTCCTGAAACGACTAGGAGGTGCGCTTATGCGTGATGCGTACTCACCCGCACACCCTCACGAGGAACAACTTTGCTTACCATAGCGTGGTCCAACAATCATAAATTAGAGGTCTATTTGCGGCATTTTTTCTTCACACGAGGAAGGATCGTGTTCCATGCCCGAGTCGTTTTGTACGTAAGCGTAGGGGCGCAGGGCGCCAGAGCGTCACGAGTGCATGTTAAATTTCTTGCCGAAATTTTCCAACGTGTCACTGTTCGGCGCTGGGCACTTACGCGTGATAGAGGTGTGGAACGAGAAACTCAGTCGCACTTTGGTGGGTGAAACCAAGCACAAATACCGTGTTGCGACCACGACACGCATCAGGAGTTCCAATGGGTGAAAAATGTCGGGCTTGCTTGTAGTAGCAGACGTGCGAAAACTTCACCAGATATCTTCTGAGTCAATGTAATACCAACATGGTGTGTGCCGCGCCTTGACTGAAGACATAATCCACAAGACGTGGTATGCTGTAGGATGCGGCATGGGTGCCGGCCAGCGTATGCGGACGTACGGCATCAGCCTACTGAGACTCGCCGCTGATGCTCACAACCAGTGAAGTAAACATCGAGGTTATTACTTTTTCCCTCGGATCGTTACCTCCTTTCATCAGCAGGGGGCACCACAACAACGACAATGACGGACCTCCTCCTAGGCTAGAGGCACGGCCAGCTCTCGCAGCAGGGGCTCCTGGAGAGGTGAATACAGCCACAGATAGCTCCAACCACGGCGGGAGGAGGAGTCTTAGTGTGGTTGATTTTCCCGGTGACGACCCCTGCAATGATCTTAGCGCTGGAGGTGGACTGCATTCTTCGGATGCTGGCGAGACGTGGGGAGCGACCAGGTAAGAGAAGCCGGCGCGCGACATCTTTCCCTCTTACTAGTATTGCCGTTTTTCGCACCCGAGCGTTCCCTTCGCGCGAGGGCGATTCTTGGCAGCTCTCCATCATCTATGAGAACAACGAAGCTAACGAATACAGTTTGATACCAGAGTTTTCAGAGACAAACTACCGGCGTTTGACGAAATTTCCTCTCTCAGTAAAACTAAAGGGTTTTTGAACAGTCCTTGGATTTGAGCTGTCCATTCGGTTTGAGAAGCAACATCATCGATCCACAGTCTGCCCTCAACGTGTCCGTGTATTTGCTACACAAGCCTGCTGTTGTACTCTTCCCCTGACGTCTGCAACCTATCCTTGGTTCTTCAACGCCGTTCGGAATGAAGCAACATTGTACTTCCGCGTATGGCTATCGTACCAGCAGATAAACAAGAACCTCTTGATTGGTTGCGTACGTTCCTCTCTCCTGTTTCTTTCGGCAGCGGAGCTTTGTCACTGCTGGATGCGGACGAAGAGGATTTCATGGAGACTTTGTTGATGGAAAGTTGAAGGGGGACGAAGGAGGACGTGACGTCATTAAGTGTTCTGTAATGTTGCTGTCTTGACACTATATCCTTCTTGTGGCTTGGCCCCCGTTCTGTACCGGTGACCTACATAAAGCTCGTCTGATTGCGACCTGAGGCCTGGTGGTCCATCTGCCTGAGTGTAGTCGGGCTCCTCAGAGGGTTTTCCTGAGAGGTATCGTTGGTCTTCGCACCCTCCCAGCTATGGAGAAATACGCCATGAAAAAACTCTAACACGCGGGTGCCCGACTCTTGCAGTATGCTTTATGCCCCGAATATTCTGTCGCCCTCTCTGCACGAGCACGCTCATACTCCGAGTACTATTGTTCAACATCTGGCAACGAACGATGTGTGAAGTCCCACTTTCGTTCGTGAGAAAATTGTCGTACAAACATGTTTGCTGTCGCTCGGAATGCTCTCGGCAATAATACCGCTGGAACGCTGAGCCGGCTGTTGCTCCCTCGTTGATGTGGAGTATGGTTCTGGTGAAGACCTCCGAAGGTGCATCTATGGGTTAGACTTGCGACCGAACAAACTCGGATAAACTATACGTGCTCAATAGCGGCATGGTTCTATTTTGTTGCGATACAACACATCACATTTTCGGCGCGTTTGGGGTGCTTTCTCCCGGCGTGAGAGCCGAACGTCTCGAAACACCGGCGGCCTCATAATTCGTCGAACCTCCGAATCAGTTAATGACGTCAACACGACCAAAAGGGGGTGCAAGAGATGCCGTTTGGTCAGATCTCAGATCTCATACATACCTCCTTCTCGTAATCGTCTCCCCGTTTCACGTCAGAAAACAGCTCGATTCCAGCGTTCTGCGGGGGACACACCGACTACTGGCAACCATACATTCAAAGGACGTCCAGTAGAACTGTTACCGTCCGCAGTCTTGCCACTTCAATTTTCGCCCTAGGGGAAACTGGGGAGAACAGAGACAAGTAGACAGACAAAGTCCGACAAGTGGTGATTTCAACGCTATCTAGAGAGGAGCAAACATTCCAGCACACACCACAGCACTCTCCAAGTCAACCCATCACACGACATCTTCGTCTTCTTCGTCTTCTCCTCCGGAGTCCACCTCCCCCCGCCAGCTATTCGCGTTCGCCCCGCACTTGGCACAGACGGTGCGTCCAAACCTGGGCCCCCCGCAAGCGCGACACACCCTTCCCCCGCCCAGCTCGGCCATCCCGGTGGTCGATGCCGCCGCCGCTGCCGCCGCTGCCGCTATCGCCGCTGCGTTCTCTGCGTCGGCTGCGTCCGCCGGACTGTCGCCGCTGCCCCCACCACGCCTTACCGCGGCGATCGCAGCCTTTCTGGCCACTGATGCGGCGGCTGTGGCGGCCGCCGATGCCGCCGGGCCAACCTGGTTGTTGCATGTTTCGAGCGAGGTTGTGGCTGAAGCTGTAAGGCGATGCATGAGGTCAGTTGGAACAAGGAGCCTTGCATCGGAGCTGCACAAGAACGTTAATGGCGTTGCCCCTTTGTTAGGGGTGGCTGCCGCTTCGCGTGCTGCAGTGGATCGTGTTCGATCAAGGTTGGTGTGGCTCCAGGAAGTCTCCTGCCCTCGATACAACAACACCGAGGAAGGTCAACACGCCAAATCATCACGGGCTGTGTGAATGCCACGCCTCTGCGTCGTTTCCTTGGGAAACGATCGATGAAACAAAACAACAGGTCGGCAGCCATAGAGACACAGTAGAAAAATATCCTCTCCTACCCCCCCGCTACCCCCCCGGGCCCGCTCCCCCCTCCATGAAGTATGTCGTTGTTGCTGTTGTTGTTGTTGTTGTTACAGTGTGGTAGGTCAGATTCACCTCGTCGGGGCCTCGTCCCCGGTAGTCGTGTTTCGCACGGCGGGCTTCGAAGGTTGCGGTGGCGAGAATATCTCGGACCCCAGATATCTGTGCGTGTGTGTGGTTCGTGCAGTAGAAAGGCAAACAAAGGAAGAAATAAGGGAGTTGGTGTTCCTGTTGTAAGGGGGCTTGTTTTGGGGTCCAAGCACAACGTCGTGACGACGGGTTGCTGCGGGTATGGAGAGCCCCTGCACGGTCGTGATTGTACAAGAAAAATTGATACCGAAAATCAGAAAGCAATAGGCGATGCTTACCACAGCGTCGTAGACCTCTCTGACGGCGAGGCTGCCTTCCCCATTCTTCTTCAGCTCCACAAACCTCCAGGAAGGTAGCAGTGCGTAAGGGGTCGGAAAATTAGCCATAAAAAACGGCAGGGTAATCAAACTTTCAACGGCGAAGGTTTATAAGATGTGGAAGGCTATGGAAATGGGTCTTTGGGGAGCCATCATCCACAAGGGTAACAACGTTCAGACACAGAAGCTGTCAATGGGCGATAGGAATGCGGTTCAATAAACCTGTGTAGCGACTTTCCCTGGATTGCTTGACGAAATCACGATAAAACATGGTCCGACGTGTATGCAATCCATCTTACCGTTCTTTTCGAGCATCGCGTTCCATCTGGCGGACCTCCGCTTCCTCGTCTCTCTCCTGATCTCGCCGCTTCTCGTAGCTCAAGGTTTGCTGCATGTATCAAGCAGGCAGGTGGATTTGCGTCGCCTCTCGTTTTTCTTGATTCCAAACAAATGAACAAGGGATTGGTTGCTGACCAGTGTGGCGCGACTATACACAGCTACTGCCGTCGCGTGAGCAACGCAGTTGTGGAGGGTTTGCCCGAGCGTTAACTGAGAAGATCATCATGACAAATGGTTATCCGTTATATCCACAGCTTTCTCGGGGGGGAGGGGGCATAGACCATGTTGACCGGGAAGTTGAAGAATACCTCCAAAGTTCGAAGCTTGTCGTACCCTTCTTTTCCTCATTTATCGTAGCTCAACCTGGTACAGACACATATTGGCTCAACGCAGGATTCATCTCTCACTGGTGATCACAGCGTACTGTATCGTGCAGACGGTGACAACGGTGGCAATAGCAGCACTACCTACGGTACCACCACCACACGTCTATTGACCTCTGCCGCACACCTTGACTTCGAGGGGGCGCTCGGCCCGTGCCAGCTCTCTGAACCGCTGAAGGTCTTTTCGCGATCGCTTGATAACGTTGCGACGGACGTCTCTCACCTGCCGTCGTCGTAATAAAGGATTGCCACACACGAAGCAACGAGTGAGCAGGAGGCGGGGGGGCGGGGATGTGTCGTGCCCTCAAACTGCCATCAAACATCGGCTGCGGCCTTGTTGAATTGGCAATTCTTCTTTCGCAGGCCATCACGGCAGTCTCACAAAGCTGGGACGGAGAATTTAGTTCTCGCAGATCCTACCTACCGGCCTTGATTGCGCAAGTGCGAAGGAAGAACCTCCTCAAGGGAGGTTCGGAGTACTGCGTGGAGGCTTATTTTAACCATCGGCCTAGCATAGGTTCTGGAATCTTTCGAACTCGGCTTCTAGTCTAAACCTTGCGCCACGCTCTACAGGTGAAAAAACACGTACATGTGGACAGAGGTCGGACTAATACCGCTTGAACTGTGTGTGCGAGATAAGGGATGCACGGGGCTGACCAACAACAGACGCGCTACAATCGACAAGGTTTTCCAACGGACCGTGTGCGTACATATTGCTGAAGATTCACCGACATGTGGCAATGGTTATACCAATCAAAGAGAGGCATGGTTTGCACTGAAACTGTACATCATTGATCTTCTCTGTTGGTGTGTTGGGACACTGACAGCTTTCGTTGGGACCGGATCGCGTGGGAATCTGTAAATTGAATTTCCATGTGAGTCCCGACAAGAGACATGTCGTCCAAACACACCGCACACAATCGGTTCTTCTCCAATACGTTGCGGATTGGAAAATAGATATTGACACCGAGTTCGGGCCTGGGCGCCAAGCGCGCACAAAGACTTTCCTCGCGATTCCAGCCTTTTAGTACCGGCTCTACGGCCTTGTTCGCAGTGTTTCCCTGGTGTCGGGTCATCGTCTGCAATGTAATATCATACGCCTTCGTAACTCAGAGACGTGCATACCCGCTATCGTACCGACGATATGTACTTACGGCCCAACGCATCTTCTCCAGGCGTACGGCCCTGCTCCTGTCCCTGGCTGCCTGGTTGAGACCTCTCGTGATCTCCATCCGGCGCAACGCTTCCATGCGGCTGGCTTCTCTGCAAGACGACGCGTCCATGTCCGCCTCTTGGTCGTCAATCTCAACATCGAAAATGGCGCAAGGGAGGGGGGTAGGGGGGGGGGGAGGCGTACTCTTATGTTTTGCATGCCGTAGCGGTTGGACCATGGACCGTACGTCCTCGAGATGACGGAGCATTGTTTCCATGGCCAATCGTTCCTTCTTACTTTGCCAAAGGTGCGTGGGGGGTGATGGCCTCATGGGTTGAAGTTCCGATCACAACGACCGATGCCATTTTGTTGTATTTGCCGTAGGCAGAGAAGGGCGGCTGGAGGCAAGAGCGGTGTTGGTTGACTGCGGATGACCGGTTGATGTGGGGTGGACAAAAGTGGCCTGAAGGCACGGTAGGGTTAAGACTGTCTCAAGCTATTGGCGCAAGACCACGCAACTGCAAATGGTGGGTTGCCTTTGCGGTACGGTAGTGGATCATCCATCAAATTCGGGACGACGGGATGTACAAAGCTGTAACAGTGTGTACTGTGTGGTGGGTCCCTGTTTCTCAGCAAGAACAGACCTGAACATGGGATAATCCCAAGAGGATCGGACAAGGAGTACCCTAACTTCGGTTTGATGACACCGGTGCTAACAGCGAAATATTATTCACGGAGGAAAAGCTACCACAACAACAGTTAGTTACGTCCCACCTCCAGCTTGAGAACTTGCAGATCTTGTTCGAACTTCGCGATCTTGACTCGCATGATCTTATCTTCCTCGAAGGCCATGCCCATGCAGTTGGTCAGCATGTCCCACTCCCTCTCGTAGTTCTCCCCCCACCCAGCTTGACAAGCATGGAGGAACAACAGGAGCAGCGATAGGAACAAGAGCCGGGACAAAATACCGTGAGACAGTTTTTCTGTATAATTTTTCAAATCTGCCCGGCCGGGCGTCCTAATTTATTCCGAGTGTTTCGCATCTAAGCTCAAACGAGCATGGAGGGGCATTTACGTACCACTGCTGTAAGTAGTCTACACCGACCTTTCGTGCCGGTGTTGGCAGTTGAAAGGACAATGTTTCTCACTTTATATACCTTGAACAGAACATGAGACTATTTCACAACCTATTTGTAGAGCGCCAAGCCTTCTACACCATGTTCCTAACCTGCCATATCTTGGACAGTGAGGTTCTCGATTTGCCGTTCCACTATTGGAAGCCGCAACCTGGCCTCCTGTGGAAACAAGCACGATAAACAACAGCGTAAAGCCTCCCGGTGTTCAAGAAACTGCAGTAAAGACATTGCGTCCCCAAAAGTGAAATATAAAAAATAAAAAATAAAAAACATTGCAGTGACAAATTCATATTCATTCCTGTGGGACGTGACGAATCACGAAGCGTTTGCATGTAAACGCAGTCCATCCGGGCATGGTAGTCGTCAGCGAAAGATTGCGAGCACTTTTCGTATGTTTTTTTCCGCTACAACAACCGACCGCAGTGTAGTCCCGAAGACATAAATCGCACATAGACTACAATACGACAGACAGGGCAGGGGGGGGGGTGTGGCAAAACGCTCGAAAGAGGGTGGACAATGCTGTAGATTGTGACTCGCCTTTCTGAATTCTGTAATATCCTTGATCCGGCGTTTCGCGTTCCTGATTGACTTTTTGACGGCCGCGATGTCGTCCGTGCAGAGGTCCAAATCGCCCTTGATCTGTCCAAGGAAAGATCCACCAAGAAATCGTGCGTGAGAGAGGGGACGCGTTAACACGTAAGGTTCAATAGGACATCAACAATGTTTACTTTTTAGCACTGGAACACTGCTGTAGACACTTCAGGGAGGTGGCGTTGAGCTTCTGGGCAAGAGGACGTTGGGTCTTTCTTGGTGACTTGGATCCAATGGGGGCGGGGCAGTATTACATTGTAAGTGGGAAGCTCTTTTGATGCCGCTCCGCTATTCGCACTCAGTCCAGATAGCTGAAGCGATGCATCCTTTGCATGTTGATATCTCAAGGGCGCGGATGACAGCACACACAGGCCACCGGATGGATCACGCAGTATCTTCCGATCAGATCTTCGTGCAGTAGTCTAGATCAAAAGTCCAACAACCGGATCTTCGGGTATCTTTCACAAAAGCATGCTGCGTCCACAAGAGCAACAACAGCCGTGCACGTCGTTGTGCCTAGTGTGTGAATCCATGGAGTCTTCGAGATGCATATCGGCCAACAACGACAACTCGCGACTATGCTGCTGTCCGGCCGTACCAGGTTTAGACTAAGCTATTTACAAGTGGTGTAGAATAGAATGCTGCACAGCGCAAAAGCAGCCGCCAGAATTGTCTTGACACCTGTCACGGTGGCTGCGCTGCTTCTTTGTGCTGCCTTGATTCATGTGGAGGATCCTCTCCAACCAAATACTTTCTGATAATTTTGCATACACTGCGACGTGATTTGATTTGACGATGAAGCAGTAGATACACGCACCATGCTTCTACTCACGTATTGGATAATTTATAAGTCAAAAATGATCACATGCCATCAAGGGAGCTGTGGTATAATGGTTAGAATTGATCCCTGTCACGGATCAGATCCGGGTTCAATTCCCGGCAGCTTCGTTTTCATAATCGTATTTTTCCATGTTTTTTTGCCCCAGTGTCCTTTCTCACAGACAGAACTACGCAATACTATGCAAATGTACGAAAACACTTCACGATGTGCGTGCATGCGTTATTTTCTTTAGTTTAACGTATTTTTTGGGGAGGCCTAACTCTTACACTTCCAGAAGGCGACAGGGCCCGGTGTGGTCGGCGGAAAAAACGGAAATAAATGCACGCGCATTTATGGCACATTTACAAGCTGATTACTTTTTCCGTAGGCAAGCAAGGAAGGGCAGATTGATGTTGTAGATAGTCTCGTGGTACCTACCACAATAATAACGGTATGCATACGTCAGGCAGCTTACGCATTCACTTCCTATGTCTAACCTTCATTTCCACTTGAGAGTTTGGCCTAAGAGCACATAGATACCGTAAAAGTGCGTGTGATGGCACCGATCGGTGATTTCGCACCCATCGGTGTCATGGCACCGGGGTGCGCAAAAATATCAAGAACGTGTGGAAACCAGGATACAGCAGTAGTCTAGTAGCTAAAGGTATCTTCCCAGTAGGTATTCTCAAACGGGGTATCGGTGTTATCGCACCGGTGCGATATCAACGATATAAAATCTGGTAAGGACGAAATTTTGCGTGCTTCCTCCCGCAAGGTACCGGTACCCTCTGGGCCACGCGTCGAACAGTATGTAACGCGGTTGGCAGGTACCATTTGGGGCGCCATTTCATTGATGTTTAGTCTATCGTATGCATACCGTGGTGGTTTGCGCAGTAGAAAGGATTTTTTTGTTTTTTCTACGGTAATTCGTACATCGAACGCACTCACTCACTCAACCACGCACACAGCAGTACACATCCCGCACCTCCAACCAACCGAACAAGAACAAGAAGGAGTTCGTAACGGTACTACAATTCTACCAGTACCATGCCCCTTGAGGCAAACAAAGACTTAGGGAAGCACCAGCCAGCAAAAGAGGGGCTTGCGACCAACACAGAGGCTGGAAGAAAAACGATACCCCGCCGTATAGACTAACATATCTTCCCCAGCAGGGAACCACAGCGTCTGTTCCCTTAGGCGCACGCACACCAAACCCGGATTCGACCTCATCACTATCAACACCCCGGGCTGGTTGCATGGTACCGTCTACGCAAGCTCCTACTGCAAGAGTTACAGCACGCAAGACGCGGACATCTAGTCTACGCCTGTTCGTTTCTTGAGCATCGCACCTATCGGTGTTATCGCACCGTGGTGCGCTCACTCAGCACCGCATCATGGCCACTGTGATTTCTTCCACATCGCACCCATCGGTATCATCGCACCGGGGTGCGTTCGAAATCTAGACTAGAACGAAATAATTTAATTGCATTTCTGCACCGGTGTCGGTGTTATGGCACCCATCGGTGTTATACCGGGGTGCGATAAAGAATCAAGATGGGAATGATTTCAAAAACGATCGCACCCCGGTGCCATCACACGCACTTTTACGGTGGTGGTAGTCAAACTAGAGTAGGGGACTCCCAATCCATCTAGTCTGATGGGCGGTAAACGCCCCCGCCCTGCTCGGCCTTGTTGCCAAAAACTGTGCCTCGCACCCCCGTGGTGCCAGTTGCACGACGACGTCAAGATCGCCGTATACACTAGGGCTCGCATGTTGTCAGCCCTATTTGTTAAAGGCTCACCATTTGACTACATGCAAAGTCATCGATGACTGTGCATGTAGTCAAATGGTCAGCCTTTATCTAACAAAAGATACACTCTCGGCTCGTCGCCAATCCCAACGGATCTGATAGGGTGTAGTGATCTCCGGGGACGGACCCCTCGCCACAAGATGCTGCTATTAGCCGATAATGGTGCCTTGAAAGCGATCCACTGGGATTCGAACCCGTGCGTGAATCCTTTAATCGATAAAGGCTGACCACACGCTGACTAGTCTATCTAATGGTTTAACATTTGGAGCTGAAGGGTGCACGAACGGGTTCGAATCCCGGCTGCTCACTTTCCCAAGCACCATTAAATATTTCTGGCAGCGTCTGGCGAGGGGTCCGTCCCCGGAGATCACTACACCCTACTCAGATCCACTGGGATTGGCTACGAGCCGAGAGTGTATATTTTATTTGTGAAAGGCTGACCATTTGACTATATGCAAAGTCATCGATGAAAATGCATGTAGTCAAATGGTCAGCCTTTATCTCACAAGCCCCATGCCTAACAAACGTTTGCAACACAAGTCTTACTTTTCAAAGCGGAGAGTAAATACCCTCCACACATGACATGATGTACAAACTCACTTCTTGTATGTCCCGCTGTGCGCCCGCCAACTCCAGAGCGGCCTTCTCCACCCTCCACTGCTCTTTCAGCTCGTCAAAGGCGAGGTTCATTTTGTACCTTGACGAAAAGAGGTTAACAGACACAAGAAAATTGTGCTACTGACTCACGCTACCGCGGCTGCTCAGCGGACGGTTGCGGGTGCTTTCTGTTCATGAGCTCATCAGGCATGTTGTTGGATGGGTGCTTTATTCTCGCCACATGTACTTTGATTGTAACAAACACCAATGTCATTCCGCCATCAAATCTTGACTACCGTGTGTTCTTTACGGAAACATCTGACAGCAATTAAACAGCTTCACACACCACGTAATTAACGACAACGACAACGGGAACAACGACCAAGGTAACAACAACAACAACAACAACAACAACAACAACAACAACTGAGAACCGACACCTTGCATGATTGGCAACTTCGGGCGATAGGACACACAACCGTTGATCGCGCTCGTAATTACTCATCACAGGTTCGTGTCATTGATTGGCTACGGTAGAGCGAGTGCGCGGTCTTCAGAAACCGGGCCAATATTGAAAATGCGTGTGTCAGAACCCGCGTGTACCTTCCGGGAAAACGTCGCCATTGGATGGAGAGCACTTGAAAGCGGTCGTGGTAATAGTAGCTAACGGCAAGTCTCAAGGCAAGTGATACTGTGGGCGAAAAGCGGGTTGGGCATGCACAGCTTCTAAATATTCGACGCACTACGTAGTGTAGGTGTTCACTCACGATCTCCAAGACCGCAGGATGATCCTCGTCGCAAACGTCCGCCGCCAGCTAGCCTCCACGTTGAGGGCTCGATACGACTGGCGGCTTTGCCACTGCCGAAACAGGCACTGTTTGGCAACAGGTGGGATTTCTTGTTTAGAGTGTGACCTTGTCCGCAACAAGCGCAAGAAAAAAGCCACTGTTGGAGTAACGTCGCGACAAGTTACCACTGCACTTCAAGCACTGAGTGGTGCGCTTGGAAGTCGAGTTTGAATTGTCCAACAAGGGGTTCCTTGCCCACCAGGATTCACTCCTCTTTCAACCCGTAATTCGCGCATCGTCCGTGAGCACCAACATTGGTATACATGGAAGAATATCCTACTGTTGCCGCACCAGAAGCATCGTCAACTGTTTCGCGCATGAAACACGTACATGAAACGCGCGAGAATTCCAAATAAAGGACCCGATCTTGTTACCGCATTGCCCATTGTGACAAGACAATGGGTGGATCACGAACTTTACCTTCTAGCAAGAAGATTCGGGTGGGTATGGATGGGAACGATTTCGGTGGCCATCGTATTCGTCGATACCCCGCATCAACCATGTACCTCTAACCCCGTAGCCCAATGCACAATCCTAGAAAAAATGTATCGACCCACGTCTCCCCATCAAAGGCACCAACTAGTAGTGTGCATGCTCGCCACATGTGCAAAGCGATCGTAGAGCCAAATTGCTCTTCTAGTCCCACTACTGCATGGCACTCTCTATCCTGGTCGATACCTGAATCTTCGTGGCCGAGAACCCTTTGTGCCGCACGAGCCATGCTTCATACCGGCGCCTAGCATGCCTTCGGAACACTGCCCCTCGATAAGCAACCTGAGAACGACCGGGAACGTCACGAGGTAAGTTTCAAGGCACTCATGAACGCCAGCAAAAAAGGAATTCCCGCATTGTTGACATCATTGATAGGTTTCGGCCCCGAAGCGGTTTCGCTGTTCGCCACTTCCTTGACCTAGTCGAAGCATGCACGCACGCATTTTGGAGTTGGTTTATCTCGCATACTAGTTAACGAGTATCATAGCCTGTCAATGTTCCCTTGTATCGCCAACTCAAAGGAAGCCTCATGTAGAGCCATTGGTGGGGTGTGTGAAATACGTTTATCTATGTGACGCCCGAAAGAGCACAGCAGAAATGGTCGACCGACCTCATTTCCTAGACACCATGGCGTGTCGGCCGCCAAAGGGAGGCGGCCTTGAATGATTACAGTTAGCCGAAATTGTGGCTGACGGCAGACGATCTCCGACTCACCAGAACACAGTTGATTTGCTTGGTGTTGATTTAGCATGGAATTCCTACGAGAGCCACAAATATATCCCTCTGGTTGCGAAGCGTGTGGTCAAGGTCGTGAGGACATGGCCAAGGGCTCTCCAACCCAAGCGCTGTACAATTTCACGCACCTGAATGAAGAGCGCCGCTAGCCAGCGTTGTTTGTGCCTGAAAAAGGCCGACGGACAGAAACGGCCAAACAGCCGCCGACGAGACATCACGCGGGTTATTCCCAAGATGAGGAGGGGAAGCTGGGGGGAGCGGGTGAGTTTTGTTTGTTGCCCAAGCAAATAGCGCAAACACCGACGTAGAAGCCAGCCAAAACACAACAAACACAAAGGTCCCGCGAGTCATCTCATACTCTGTATGTGTACCTTTGATATGTGGGGGGGAATACTCTGAGTGCCGTACATCATTTTGGTCTGTTGCACGAGCGCGTCCATCTGATGAAAAACAGACAACCCACTTGGCGAGATCTCTTCGCCTCGTGTACCCCCTCCACTGGCTCTGAATCAGGACACAGGCAGGCGTGATTGTGTGCAAGAAATGACGCTGAGCTCTTCGAGCCTTGACCAACTCCCGGTCGATGTACCCTCGGCCGACCTGGAAAGGATGCCATGGGGTTTGCATGTGTCGGCGGGAGAAGTATACGAATTTTTAGAGTTCGGCAGGCCAGGGCGACATTCCACACGGTATACGTGGGAGGACGCGGAATTGGCGTGGCATGGGGCGGGACGAGACGGAATGGGAAAGGAAGCATGCCCAGCGGTTTCCTTGTCAAAGGCCATAGTCGACCACCGGACTTCATCGACAGCAGCATGAGCCGTTGATCACTACAGGGCGATCTGCTTGACCTCCTCAATCAGCCTACCGGGACTCGATAACGAGCGTAGCAGTACATTTGCCGCCCGCGTTTAAGAAACGTGTCATTTGGGTCGAGTCCCAAGTTCTATTTCGTCACCACCGTCGAGCATAGGTCATTCATTGTATAGAGTTTAGTGCAGGATATACGGATGAGCAATGTTTCTTAACCCAAATTTTTTATTCTCCGCGAAAATTTGAGCCCCAGATTGCTAAATTCTTGTTTCTTGATCGCGGGCGCTGACTGTACGCACCGCTGCGATCCTCGTTGCCATAGCGTGCTCCAGCCGGCAAAACAGCACCCTGGCCCACCACATCCTTTTGCGAAAGCCTCGCACGTGGCGCTGTCGAGGAAGGGCGAGGGGGTAACGGAGGTCGGCATACGGGGCGGGGGGAATGCGTTATGCGGGAGTTAGTAACCCCTTGTGGTAATTGCTAACACGTAGTTTTGATTATTGACACGACCTTCTTCGCGGAGCAATGACCTTATTTAAATTTGCAGCTGCAGTCCTCTGACTACGCCTCGAATTGTGGCCGCGCGTCTCTCTAAGGACAGAGCAACACCCGTTCGCAAGTCTAACTTGCTCTCAGATATTATCGCTGATATGGCTGGGTGTAGTATTGAGTTGACTCGACATGCACTACCATAGGCCGGGAAACACGCGAATTTATGTCTGGGCCTCAGGCTAGCATTCGAGAACCATCTTGGCGAAGCTCTTGACAGTATTTACTCCCCCCTTTTGTCCGACCACCGCCCGAGTGTTGCAGTGTAATGGATCTCACAAGCATCTTGCCACGTACTGTGTTCTCCCGGCCAGGCATCTCCTTTCGCCCGAATGTCTCAATCACTCTTACCTGAATCTCTATAGCGGCAGCCCACATTCGCCTCCGAAGGGCCCCCTCCTCCCGCCCCTTCTTCCCCCTCCAGCACTTTTGCAAAACCCCGGCCGACGGCACGATGACCTTCACTCTCACAGCCTCCTGGAACCGCCTTGTACACGCTTTTCGGACCAGGAAACCTCTGATGCTCCTCTGAATCAGCAAGATAGCCGGTAGGCCGCAGAGTTCGAAGGCGCGGGCTGCCCGCTTGCGTCGAGCGTGACATCTGGGACGTGCCGCGGTGTGTGTGTGGAAGGGGGCATCCCCTTGCGCGTCAGTTGGTCTCCTTCTAGATTGCTTACCTTCGCCGATGGACCACGCGCATCTCGCTTGGCAAGAAACCAACGTCCCTACCTGTTGCTAAAGTGTCAACTATCCCCCCAACGTGAACGCGCTCCGTACCGGAGTTTTACGGAACGACATTTAGCCTGTGCCCGCGACGAATCGTTCCTGACGAGTTAGATCATACGAGGTACAGAACATGGAAGCACTACGAAAAAAAGCAGTATTATTTGAAGACGACAACGACAGCAACGAGAGAATCAACAATCATACGGCGGCGCATTTTTTTTTTCGATCTACCGCATTCTTCGTTTGATGGCTCCACGCTTAGTGCCCCGCTATCGTGGCACGACTTGCCTTGCAGTGAAGCCTCGCCCCCCTCGCTGTATGTTCCTTGCCGCGAAATAGTGTGCTGCGACCCAAACTGCATAGCGACGGGCTACGTGTCCCCGGAAAAGGGCCTACATTTTAGAGGTGGGCATTACAAGGCGAGCAGTGGATAGTATCCAGAGGGCGGGGGTGAAGACGTTGGGAGTAGGCGGGGGAGTAGGCGGGGGAGTAGGCGGGGGCCGCACTGTTAGTAATCACGGTTCATGGGGATGCCAAATGATTTTTCCCGCACGGTAGTGTGACAGAAACACATCGTGCCTCGAGGGATCCGTAAATCCCGGCATGTAAACTGCACACGCGAAGCGTTGTTCAAATTTCGTGCTGCAGCCAGCACTAGCTGCCCATAGTACTACCGAACGCCACAGCTCGAACGTGTGCCCCCGTTCAAAAGTATCCTAGCCTCCCCCCCCGGCCTAGTCACAGCGTGGGATCGTCTTCCAACACGCCTAGGTGCTGTTTTAACGGGAGGCATCCCTCCGTTTGCCCTCCCACCAAGCTCACTCAGCACACATCTAAAGTCGTACAAAAAATATCACTGCTCTCAGACGAAAGTCATGCGTACATGTACCCCTTGCTGTGAAACCTCTCTCACGTCCAAAGAACCATGTCGAAATCAATTTACCTGTAGGCCAATGGCCCCGGCGCGGGCCCGCGCACGGAAAGCCAAGAATTTTCTCTGGGCCGAGAATCGACGCCAACCGGCAGACAACCTCGTTGCCGCCAGGACGGCGACAACTTTCCACATGGAGGCATACCTGGCAAATGACACGGATAAAGGACCGATTTTCAGGGATGGTTCGGCCGCTAGAAAAACGTTGTTGCACATGTATGCTACGGTCTACATCGCGTCTACACTGCGACTGTTGCGACATGCTCCCTTTTTAGTGAGTCATCTTGCCTAATACAAGGAACAACTTTGAAAGCGAAAGGTTGGGTTATTGTGTTCGGGCTACGGCCTGCCAGAATTATGAAAAGTAAACATCTCTTGATCTTGGATTTTTACACCGTCGAAGTGATTGCTCTCTGTGAACCTTTCTTCGGTCAAGCAAAAGTAACAACATTGACGTACGTACAACAGCTTTCACCAAGAATTTTGGTTGAGTTCAACTTGTCTGATTCGAGAAATAGGTCAGGGCAACACCTTTAGCCTTATCGCAAATGTAGCTGCCCCCTTTACGTCCTAGATGGTGAGGAAACGCTGTGTTGAAAACCTAAGAAAAAGAGTAACGCAACGGTGACAAACCTGAAAAGGGTGCGTACATGTCAATCCCTTCCCGCAAACAACCAAGAACGTTACGCGACAACTGCGACAAAACGCGACCTACTCGATGCAGCAGCACACTCCAACTTCGCAGCAACACGCACACCATCTACCTTCGCCCGAGATGACCTCGGAAAACCCGCTGCACCGCGAGCACCGCCCGCTGGCGCCGCCGCAGGCGCCGGGCTGCGCGAGGCAGGCCACCAAGCCTCCGCACTCGCTGGATCCTCGTCGCCGCCTCGACGAGCCGCCCCAGAAGGACCCCGTAGCGGTCCAAGACACCGGCGTCTAGATCGGGCGGCGGACCGGACGCCGCGAACGCGCTGGCAGCGTGGCGTACGGTATCTGCTGCTGCACTGCCGCCGCCACCGCCGCCGACGGCGGCAAAGGAGCCAGAGACAGATCGGGGGGATTTTACCTTTTCCCGCGGAGGAGTCTTCTCGTGCTGCTGCTGCTGCTGCTGCTGCTGCTGCTGCCAGGATATTGATAGTTGTGAGCCGTTCCGTGCGGTGGTAGGGCTTGGGAGAGACGTGCAGTCGGGTGGGGCCGGCGCTACGGGGAGATGGCGCCCTGAGGAGGCGACAGGTCCGGCTACGTCGGCGCTCCTTCTTGAAATAGGGGCGAGGAGGCGAGAGCGATTCTCTGTGTAAAGCTCCATGAAAAGCTTGCGGGCGTTGGGGCCCAGGCCGTGGAAGAAGTGGGGGTGCGTGCGGCCAGCTTTGGTGGCGGCGGGGGCGGCAACGGCGGGGTTCGTGTTTGGTTGATGACCGGCACCATCACTTTGCCCCCCGCTCGTTGTCGGCGGCGGGGGGTTTCCCTTGGTTTGATCTGCGTCTCCATTCGACTCGCCGAAGCGGTCGAAGTGCTCGAACTTTGGTGCCGCTTCTCTGTGTTTTGTTACGAAGAAAGTGCCCGAAAATGGTCAAGATGCGACAATTTGTTGGAACGACATTGATCGGTGCTTCGTGTGTCGCAATTTTTGTTTTTTCTGTGTCTTCTCTCGAGCTTGATCTGTCGGCGATGAGAAGGTCCGGTGGAAGACGACAAAACCTCGCCACCTGGCTACCGCCGCTGGGATAGATGTTCTTACATGAACGTTGGGTACGCCGTGTTGGAGTTGAAGCGGGGACCTCGGGTGAGCTCACAAGTAAGTAAGTGTCCGGTCGCAGGACGTTATCGCAGAACAACCTTGTGCACGGTAACCCTACCACGATATTCTTCAAGGGCGTACAGGACAGCTTGCTAAAAGGAGGTTTCGCGCGGTGCAAGAGTATTGTGCTTCATGTCTCAACCACGCGGAGAATAACACATTGAGCATAGATACCGCACGCTGTTTCGCGCTTGCTTATTCAACCTATTGATGCCGGCGTTGGCGATAAAATCCAGGTTGGAGTCTCGTAATGCAAGAGATATCTTGCTGATCCCGTGACTCCCAAAGCTATTCCCGGTGCTGCGGCGCTTTCGTCCTTCCCTCGGCCCGTTTCGGTTCATAAATCCACATGAAACAACATATTCGCCTGATTGAGAGCGAAGTATCTGATTGAGAGCGAGAGCCAAAAAAATTGAAATTTCGGGTCCAGACGCCTCTTGCCATTTCTTGGCAAGTAGGGGACGGGCTATTCCAAGAAGCGGTGCAAATTGAAGGTCTCATCAGCAGCTTCGCGAGCATATGCGTGTCATCGTCATCGGATGCTGCAGCGAGGAGCTAGACAAGTTGCTAGATTTGCCCAGATTGGCTATTTCTGCTCAAACTGTTTCAGGGCGGTATCGCGTCGGGCGGTGGGCTCTGCTGTAGCTTCTGCTCCCCGCTGTAGCTCCACAACGAGAGACTCCCACAGGATGACCAGGGTAGCGGCTTGAAGCTACGGGCTAGCCCTTCAATTCAAGCTACACAGCAAGCTCCACCTCTCAGTGGTAGTCCGGCTACAGCGTATCGCGCAATCTCGCTCTCAATCAGATGCTACGCTCTCAATCAGGCGAATATGTTGGCGTACAGGACAGCTTGCTAAAAGGAGGTTTCGCGCGGTGCAAGAGTATTGTGCTTCATGTCTCAACCACGCGGAGAATAACACATTGAGCATAGATACCGCACGCTGTTTCGCGCTTGCTTATTCAACCTATTGATGCCGGCGTTGGCGATAAAATCCAGGTTGGAGTCTCGTAATGCAAGAGATATCTTGCTGATCCCGTGACTCCCAAAGCTATTCCCGGTGCTGCGGCGCTTTCGTCCTTCCCTCGGCCCGTTTCGGTTCATAAATCCACATGACGGGTCACAATTTTTATAGAACAAAATACACTTCCCGAGGCCGCCAACTCTCGCTGAAGGGAGGCTTCTGCCAGTAGCATAGTATATATCTTGACCTTACCTCAACACCTTGCTCTCTGCGATTATCCTCTCCATGGTGCTCTTCACAATGCCCTCCTTGACACGGGGGTGGTTGGCGAGGGTCCGGTGCCCAGACCTCGCTGCCCCCCACAGCTCCTGTACGATGTCAGAAAATACCGTCAAGATCAGAGTAAGCTGACCAATGCGGGTTGTCGGCCTCTATCGGCGGCAATGCCTTGAACTTGCCAAAGTGCAGCAGTACGTGCAACCTGCATCAGAGGAGAACTCTATTGACGTCCAAGTGTTCTTTCTTTTAAGTGCTGTGGCTTCTTGCGTGCACGTAGAGCGGTCCGGGGCCTTGACGGTGCACAAGACATCGATCCTTCGAAGAAGGGCAGCCCGTATGATATCCAGGGATATCCAAGCGAATTTGAATGCACTTTCCGGATCTTCATGGGAAACAACTTACGCAAAAGTCTACAAGAACGGTGGTTGTTGTTGCTGCAAACTCTTCGAGTTGTGTGGCTGCTAACATTCGATCTTCAGCAGCGAACATCATGCACCACTGAGACTCCGTCGGCTTTAGTTCTAAATAGAAAAACCAAGGCATTCCTGAAGGCTCTGCCTTAGATCGTTGCAAAATAATACACTCTGGCAACTGGGAAGGATACCTAGCATGTGGACGACAATGAATGGTGGACGACCACGATAGATGCGCAAAGGGTGAGCTGGTGGTTTCGAAAGATACGGTTCTGCCCTGTGAAACGATCATGTGAACATGAGTATCGAGCTCAACAGCGAACGCTTGTTCAAAGGATTTAATTCAAAGCTAAAGTACTAATCCCCAGGGTGTCATGGAAAAATAATGTTTTTCTTTGTCCTAAGCGTTCCTAGTGATTATGCCAAAATATGTTTGTGCGACAAGCAGCAACAACACCACGCACACCGTCGGTTTTGCCGGGGCTACAATAAGGGCTCGTGGTCTGTGACAAATGACGGGGTGGCTGTGCCATCAGAATCCTTCAAGGAACGAGCTCCGAAAGAAAACCAAAGTTACGCCGCCACACCAAACCTGCTCCGTTGGAGGATAGGTTTCGGCTCGCCACTGCGCCGGAGTCCTGCAGTCTACCAGCAGCGAAGAACCGGCTATCGCGTCTAGCGCTCCCCACACGGGCAGCCCTTCCACGTTCGGCCCCACGAAGCTGGCCTTCACGTTTCCTCGGATGACTCGATGACGCCGCCGCTGCCGTTGATCGCCGTCCTTCCCGCGCTCTTCCTGGCTGTTGATGCCGCCGGTGGGGATGACGGGATGAACACTCGAGAGCGATGCCGTCCCAACGGGGAGCCCGCGGCCGTTCGATACATCGTTTCGCCCCCCCTCTTCTATCCCTCCACCACCGCTCGATCCTTCTTCCTCGCCAGCTTGTCTCTCCCCACCCGCCGCCACTACTCTCTCGCTTTTTTCCCCCGTGCCTACTGCTACGCCGTGGGGTCGACCTGCCCCCGCCCTATTGCTTTCATCATGATGTCCTGGGCTCTGCACAGATACACCCCTTCTTGCATTCGGTCGGCCATCGGTTCCGTCGGCAACGCTGTGGTCGCCCCTGCCCTCCTCCACCGCATCGGGCGCCAGCGCTGTTGGTGTTTTCTTGGCTTTGGTTGCTTGGGGCAGGAGTGATGAGGGTGGTGTGTTTGAAAAAGGAAGTGGGGACGAGAAGGCGTTGGTCCTCACGTCAGGAAGAGAAGGGGGTGGGTGGGCGGAGGCAGCGAGCTCGTTGTGAAGAGTCGTGAAGACGAGAGCGAGGCGGTCAGCGTGCGACAGCCCCGTGAACGCGTCGCTGCGAAGAAAAAGGACAAGCGGCGGCGGCGGTACGAGGCGGTGGGGCGCGGGGAAGAGAGGGGGCTCAGACTCGGTTGTCGCTCAGAAAAAAAAAAGATGCGGCTATGCTTCTGGTACGTGCGTTTATGGACGAGAGGAAGGAAGCCAGTACGCACCGCACCCTGCCGGTGGCGTATCTGTTTCACCACACAAACAGACCAAGGACAGAGTCACGAGCTAAGAATGCGATGAGCGGTGGCCTGGGGGTCATGAAGTGGAAGGAGTAGTGGGCGGCGCCGGGAAACCTTTGGTTACGCACGACTAGCTAGAAACTAGGACACAAGTTGCCGCCGACATTCTGACAGGCGTTTGCAAAGCCCTCAAGCTCTCAAGCATGGTCTGCGGAACACACGCTCTCGCCAGGTAGAGCATGGAAGTACTAATTGAGCATCGCTGTGGTTACCTGACAACCAAGATCGATATGTGGGTCTCCAGCATCGTGAGTTGCGTCATCATCGGAGGTTTCGGCCCTCGTACGGCGCCAGGGTTCGCGTCCCTCTCTTTCGCCGATTTGGCTGCGAGGGCGAGTGCCTGTGGATCACGGGAAGGGTTGCCTCATACGGGTTGGTTGTTTATATTGGGCAGAATGTCATCACAAAGAGAAGAGTCTCGAGAACACGTGTGCTTGAGGTTTGGGTGTCGACTGGTGAGAATATTGTTTTCGGTGCTACAAGTATTGCGAAACATTAGCACCCCATATGGTCAGTCGTGAGGAGCGGAACCAGAGCTACCGACAAGTGTATCGCAGGTCATCCAAGACGAGTTGTTGAGTTGTTCAGCATCGCACCGATCCGATTGAAAACACGGACCAAGCTCATAAGTACACCATGTCAAAGCAACTTTTCCGAAGAGCAACAGGGGCGTCTCACCTGGCCCTTCGTTAAAACCGTTGTCCCGACGGACTTGATGGGCGTAAGAATTGGCACCAGCTTTCCGTCGGAAGGCCTGTCTCCGAGCATGTACACGGACGCCTCCCAACGCTTGGTGCGAGGGTCGAACACGGCTCCCCGGTGCATGTGTCGGGCACCCCCGAGAAGTCGTCGCTGTTGGTACCTGGAAACAGCGGGGGAACCGTTCCGAGGTATGGGCGGTTGCGCTTGGCCAATTTTGCGTTCTCATGGGCAATTCCGCGGTGGGAGACATGCATACGTAGGCGACGGGGCTAAGGTGGAGTTGGGCCAAGAGAAGAGACAGGGTGTTAAAAATAAATACCTGAGAAAACAGACAATTCGGCAGTGCAAGATACACATCCAAGCGAAAGGGTGATGTGCATACACTTGGTCGGTCGCTACAACACTTTCCCACGTTGTGAGCGCGACAATGCCTAAAGGTCGCCACGATTTATGGTAGCTGCAAGAAACTGCGCTTTTTCTCACCAATAGCTGAGGTTTGTCAGCCGTACGGCCAACGGTTGTAAGGTCGCACTCGTCTCCAAAATGTTCTTGAGCAGCTGCTGTCGAGGACAAACTAGCGGCTCGAGCAAGGCCTCCCCGCGTCTGACGGTAGGTGGCGGCGGCGGGAAACAGGGGGAATTACCATCAAGCAACAATTATGGCAATGGGGCACCGGTGCCAAAGAAACAGGGGTGAAAGGGTTAGGCAGATAGGGTACATCGTGTGGAGCGCGTGTACGACCTTTGAGTATCTGGACAAAATGTCGCCTTACATGATGGCGTGGATGCCAGGGTAATTTTAGTTTATTTGAGAAAAAGTCGTCGTTGCACATCGGCAGGGTCTGCCAGAATCACACCCTGTTCGGTAACCGCAGCATGTTTCGAACTAATTTTCAACACGACCGTTTCTACTGGCAGCTACAGTCGTAACCAGTAGTAGGAGGAGCTCTAGCCCGATGCTGACGAACTTTCCGCCGCTAGTCGGTACCCCAATCGCGTATGTTTGCTGCGATGCAGCGCCCGGCCAAGTCTTGCTAAGTCAGTCTTGCCTTTGCTGCGCAACGTTGTGCCTACTCCATAGCAACGCGGAGAAGTATGTTCGAAGACGTCCAATTCGGTTGTTGCCAGCTGTTTTACCTCGCCTCCGCCTTGATACGCTCTGCTGTAGATGTCGATTGAAACACGCCGCTTCTGCCCCCCGCCTGCCTCTCCTTCCCGCCGCGCTTTCTGCTCCGCGGTACTCCACCCGTTTTACTGGTTGCGCGACTATTAAAACTGGATTCCGATCCTTTCGACCTAGCCGAGCTTCTCGATCGCAGGGATGACAATGCCGACAACCCGTCCATGTCCACGGAACTCGCGCCTGAAGCTCTCGATCGCGACGAAGCGAGTGGTATTTCGCCCCTACCCATTTCCCCAATCCAACCCCCTGGCGTGTTCTTGTCGCCGGGGTCACCGGCCGCCATGTGGGGGACTTGACCCACCCCTTTGACTTGGGGCACTGGGTGAAGGGGTGACCTGCTTGAACGGGACGACGATGACATAGATTCAGAAGGATCTGCCGGATCGCAGATTTTAGTCTCCAAGCCGCGCGCCGACCGCGAAGATGAGTCCGTAGTGTCTTGCTCGGTCACCGTCCCTGACGACGACCTTGACCCTGCTGAACCCCCCCCAGGAATGCCGTTGACCCATCCTCCTTTCGAAGGATATCTTGGCGAGGGCAGGAGAAGAGTATCAGATGCAGAGGATGGTCGCTGTCCCCGTCCTTCCCGCCTGAACTTCAGCACTAGAGGTCGCTGCCTTGCCGCAGCGTCCCGTTGTTGCCCATGCGCCTCGGGTGCTGGCGATCTTGCCGCTGTGGCGGCCGCTACTACCCCGACCGCGTCTTCGAAAGACACGATGCCGGCGTCGCGCGCGGCGGCCCCAGCTACCGGCATCCCGTTCACCTCAACCAGAATGTCGCCGGGACGAAGGATCTCGCGCCCCGCTGCCGGCCCGAATACTTCAGCGCCGCCCTGGCGCTCCGCCGTTTCTCTCGTTGTTCCATTGAGGTTTGTCTCCGCCGGCATGCTATGGCTCTTGTCCAACAAAGACCCATTGACGACACCGTTGCTGGTATCTGTCGAGGGAAGACCGCTCTTCGTCCGATCGTGTTCTTGTGGAAGTCGCCTCCCGCTAGGGAGACCGAGTCCATCTCGAAAGAGTTCTTCACCACTCTCACCAGTTGCAGCAAGGGGCTGGCGTTCACCACTGTGGGGAACTGTGTCGTGGCCTGTTTCTGTGGTGGTGCCTCGAGCCCAAGCAAAACGAGAACTAGTTGTCTCCTGCGGTGGTAGCAGAGGGAATCTTTGAATTCGTAAAGCATGAGGTATCGATACTGGCGCCGACGGGGCATCCGCCGGACGGGCGGCATTTTCCTTTGGCGCCGATGATGGGGAGGATGTAATTGGAGGCAGGGTCGAGGAACCGAGAACGGTAGCTCGTGCGGTCACTACGGCCACATCAGGGGGCTCTCGCTGTTTACATCCTACAGAAGGCGAACCTAATATGCCCGCGCTGTCTTGACCCGCCTGGCGTCGGCTGGTATCATCCTCATCGTCGTCTAGCGTTTGACTGGTAGGAGGAAGAGCGGGGTGTACGACCGCTGTACGATCTACCGCCCACTCGAAGGTGATACCGAGTGGACCTGTCGGCGGGAATGTCACGTCGAAAATGTAAGGTTCGTCGCTGCTAGCACTTCTCTCGCCGCTGCCTTTATCGCTGCCGCTGCCACCACCGGGGGCATGATTCTGCGTGGCTATTGGCTCGGAGGTTGGACCGATGTTGTTGCTGCCGCTATGCCTTGCCGACGACGGGGCGGCTTCATTCCTGCTGTTGGTTGACATGGTTCAATCGACGACGCTGTTTGCACTTGCATTACAGCGCAGCGGACGTTGGCAGGCCGAATCTACCAATAGACCCCCGTCCGCTTTGACCACAACTTCGCGTCCAAGAGGTGCGACCTCCCAGTCCGCCGTGTGATGCATCACCAAGTGGCACAGCGTGTCGATGCCTCACACCATAGCTCGCACCTTAGGCCTACAAAGTACGGGGTTAACCCCACATCCTGCACAGGGGCAATGGTGTGCTAACGTCAGTGTGTGTGTCGCGCAGCGCCCGCAGCGCCTTGCCTCGCTCACGATCTTGGTTTGGATCCAACCCAAAACCAAAAAGCGGTATGTGTACATGTTGAACTCTCTTGTCATTCCGCGGAGCCCCCTCGCTCGCTTTTGTTCGTGGTTGGCACCCACACACCACTTCTGCTCTCTCGTGTGCTGCGTGCGAAGCGTGGCTTCGGATCCTCTGCATAACCATGAAGCTTTCGCCGGTTGCGTCGTTGGTGAGTTGGCTCAGTCCACTTTCCGTGCAAAGGATGCTGGTTTTGTTCAGTTGATGCGCCGGCTCGAGTTGTGTTTTACATGCTGTACAATACATCGTAGTTGGTTGTCCCGCTCCCCGACAGCAGTTCGTTCATCAGCCTAATCTGTATGCAGGGCGGCAGGGACGGCGGTGGCAGGGCCGTTTGCCCCCAGGCTGCACCTATCGGGGCAGGCACACAACCAGGCAGAGGCAACAGCTACGACGGTGCACTCAGGATTTTGCGATACTCCCAGAGTACGCCACGCGCCGAACACCAGTACCATCGACAGCAGTCCACACCGTATATCTCTCGCCCCTTCTCCGTGTGACCTTCTGTGTGTCCTCTTGTCGTTCCCCATCTTCCCGAAGGATATATTCATAGATGCAAACGTTTTGCCGCTCTGCCGCCCCGCTGACCTTGGGCTGTGTATTGATGTCCAGCAATGCTCGTAACCTGAATTTCCGTTAGAGCTTCATCGTGTGACAGGCGTCTGGGTCTTGACCCGAGCGGTAGTGCAGGCCAACACTGGTAGTCTAGATGTGTTCAACGAACACGTCGATACAACTCAACACTCCCCCATGATAGTCGAAGTAACATACCGCGCGCGTGCCTCGTTGTTTATCATATGAAATGCAAGCGTACGTCTTCTCTCTGGATCTCTGGTACACTGACTGATGAAGAACACTGCACCATGGCATGATTCTCCAGGATGAAGACGCCCCTACTGCCTGACATGTACCGTTCCACATTCATGGCTGTTCCCGTACCGGTAACCAATTCATCCGCAACCTCGCCCCCCCCGCCTCCCCAGTACTCGATGGGCGCGGTGCTCATGAGCGCATGCTGCAAGTACCACCTGGTGGACGGCCTGAGGAGGTCTAAGGTGAGGGAGAGTGAGAGTGACGGGTGCTGCTACCTTCTATCTTCGTCTTGCCCAGTCTTTACATGTAATTCTCGGGACACCCACACTGCTGTGGGGAGCACTGCAGACAACAGAGTTTTGCGAAAACAACCAAGGACACGCTTCTACAGATGGCGCTTGAACTACACTCCACAGCGGAGTTGCGAACAGAACGTGCCGAAATAGCGAACCAGCGAGCCGACGGCAACAAAAATGTTTCCGCAGCATTAAGTACCCTGTGTCCCAAGCAGACCACGAGTCCTCGTGTACTCTTGTAGGCCGCACCAGCACGCAGATGGACCAGACCCCAAGCCCTGTTTACCATGGAGTGTTTCATGTGAAGTGCCATACTCCGGCACCGCTAACCTTGTGTCGTCACCTATAATGGTATCCTGTTTCCAGCGCTCGATTTGGCGGCATTCGTCGCGTGACTGCGTTAAGTCGCACATTGCTGAATTTGCACCCAATGTAAACAGCGCTCTATGCGATAGCACGTTGCTGAAATTTGCAACCGAGTTTGCAAAACCACGCTTTTTGCGGTTGTTCCCGTTGTGGGCAGTATGTGTGCCCTCGTCTGTGGCCCTGTCCTTTGAGATGGGGACGTTGGCCTTCTCCGAACTCTGAACTCCCCCACCACGGGCCGGTAAACCGTACATGGTCCCCGTTTGTCTGCGGAACGGTGACGAACGGAACGGTGACGATCTGTAGCAGTACAGAACAACTTCTGCCCTCTTTCGCGGCCACCCACGTACCGTACCGAAAAGAGTATTGTTCTCTTTTTCGCTAGCATCGTGTTCAAGTCCTCCGCCCAGGTTTGTGCTCAACACCACTTGCCCTCAGCCGGTTAACAAAGGGCGCTGCAAGGGCTTTGTGGCTAGTGCTTGTGGTCTGAAGAAGAGCATCGCCGCGCACCATGCCCAGTACCCCCTCCCCAACCCCGTCGGCTTCATTAATTCGGGCAGATGACGATGTCGTATCGGAACGTGAGGCAAGGAAAGGAGTACTGGAGACTGGGCAGCAGCGTCCTTCTCTATGACCTCGAAAACCCTCTCGACATGTACACGCTGGTACGTCCGTTGCATTTGTTGCGGTAATTTTTGTTTCTTGAGTTTGAACACGACGGTTTGGGGGTTAGTGTTAGTGATAAACCTGAGGACAGAGATACGTCTTATTTGGGCAGGTTTGCTGTTCGAGGACGGGAAGGGTAATGGCATCAATCACCTCGTCAGCCTTTTTCGAAGTAGTTACCGCCTCTGCATGTCAAGTACCTCCCATTCCGTATGACTGGAGAAAAACAAACACACTTTTGTGTTCGCAAGCTAAGCAACAACCAAACACGAGATCTCGCAATCGTGTCTGTAAGCCCATCCACCAAAACCTCCCCTTTCACCGTATTGCTTCTTGTGAACAGGCTGCGTTGTTCATGTGCTTGCTGGCGCTGGAGCAAAAGTTCTTCAAAGGCTCGCCGTCGGCCATGGCATCGACGCTCGTTTTCATCGCCGCTGCGCTCTTTACGCCAGGCTTCTACTTTCGGGTGAGAGGGCACAACTCAACTCAACTCAACTAAATGCTTAGGAGGAGGAGGCTTGGGGCTCTGGGGTTGTGGGGACGGAATCAAGGGTCGAGGGATGGGGTATGTACCTTGGTCGTCCTACGAGGAAAAGGCTTGATGTCTCTTGTGTTGGAGGTGGTTCAGGAGGACCCGCATCGGTGTACTGTACAGCTGCATGCATACACAACTCAACTCAATTCACATCTTGAGAAGGGGAGGCTTGAGGCTCTGGGCTTGTGGGGATGGGATCGAGGGTCGAGGGATGGGGTATGTACCTTGGTCGTCTGCCGGACGCCCGGGATACAAGCATCTTCTACAGATCTTGAAACGAAGGCATCATTGGAATTATGGCGAACTAAGTTGCTTTGCGGCACCACCTTGCCTTGTTTTCGTTTTCAGGTTTTCCTTGGTTCCGTGACCTAGAGTATGTCATTGCGTGTCACGGTGATGTTTTTCCCTTCGGAATGCGAAGCCACAAGGCCGTTCGTACCATCTGCCGGCGCTTTGTTTTTGCAGTTGTGTCTGAACCTGTCTGGCACGCATGAGCAAAGTAGTTGCTGTGCTTGAGACTTCTTGAAACGTTGAATGGGTACCTGGCCGTGGACGAAGGTCTCTGCTTTGCCTCCTTGGACCCCCCCCCCCCCCCCCCCCCCCCCCCCCCCCCCCCCCCCCCNCGCATGAGCAAAGTAGTTGCTGTGCTTGAGACTTCTTGAAACGTTGAATGGGTACCTGGCCGTGGACGAAGGTCTCTGCTTTGCCTCCTTGGACCCCCCCCGCCCCCCCCCCCCAGGAACTGCGGCTAAAGGAACCTGCAGTCATGATGTACGTGGCCATTGCCACCTGGGCGACGATTCGGTGAGAGGCGGCTTTTTGGTTGGCGTTGCTCTGTTGGTGTGGTCACGCCCTCGCTGGCGATGTTGATGGTGCTTAATAACGATGTCATTGATCGTTGTAGCGATTGCCATGCTTATAAAGCTTGCATGAATGCTGCAGCTGCCGCCGCTACAAAGTCGCTTGAATTTTTTTTATCTCTTGAAATGTTTGCGTGACTCGTGTATTGCGGATGGATTCCGTATGGAAAGGAGGTGTAAACAAACTAGCATGTCACAGGCAGCAGCACTTGGACAAGTACGGATGTGCGAAGAAGGCACTGAGCATAGATTGGTGTGGTTTTTGATGTGAGATAACAGCAGCATTGAGCAGAGATCGGATTGGTGAAGATAACAACAGCAGTGAGCAGAGATCGGTGTGGTGTTTGATGTGAATGCAAACAACAGCGGCGACGACAACAACAACAACAACAACAACAACAATAACAACAGCAGTAGCAACACCGGCAACCTGCTGATTTGGGTGTTCCTGCACTACTGTATGATATGTCCAAACAGATGCTTCTTCCGCCCTACTGCCGGAGTGGGGAGTCAGGCGATGTTCTCAGCGCTGGGCCCTTTGATACCGATCGCTACTCCACACTTCCGGAAGGGAGAGATCGATGTGGCGCTGCTCAAGCACCAAGCGATGGCCGTCGCGGTGGGGTTAGCGGTGAGAATATTCGTGGAGTGAAAGGTGGCTGGCTGATTTGGTATTGAAAATCAGACACAAAAAGTGTTTGAGAAGAATGGATGAAGAATTTCACGAACCAATTTCGCAGGCAGGTATTCATATAATGAAGGGGGGTGGGGAGGAGAAGCAGATGATGACAGGGAGAGAGGGACGGGGGGAAAAATACGACAAGACTCAGTCAGTAAACGAAAAATACTCCTGGACATCGGAGGACTAAGAGGACCAAATGTATGCATAGCCACGAAAGAAAGAGTCGGAGAACTACATGTATGTTTAACAAAAAGTAAAAGAGTCGTTGGTATGTTTCTATTGTCAGGAGCAGCAGTAGTAAGCAGCAGCAGGGGCGGTTTCTTCCCAGTGCCAGTCAGTGGGTTTTACTGTAGGAAAAGAAGAAAAGGCTTCGCCACGGCGCTCACATTGAGAGCGCCAACCCGTTCATTCACTCCTCTGTTGCATCTCATTTTCTCGCTTTCTTACGCCACGCGATTTTGAGATTCGCATGTTTTGTTTTTGTTGTCTCGACCCCATCAGTGCGTCCTCCTCATTCCGGATGCCGAGGGCGCGCGGGCCCTTCGCCAAAAGCGGCAGCAGGAGGCTAGCCGGAAGGCGAGGGCATCCGCGAAGGGGAAGAAGAACGCACCACCGGTGCCGAACACGAGCAGCAGCAGCGAGGAGGAAGAAGAAGAGGAAGTAGACAGCAGTAGCGATGAAGAGTAAGCATCGGGACGGCCGGCGGTATGTGGTGTGGTATGATGCCGCCGCGCCGCTGCGATATCGCCTTCTAGAAAGCTGGGCTTTCCTTGACCCGCTGCAGCGGCTCGATCGGGGTGTTGCAAAATCGATTGGGATTTTGTACCAGCATGCGTGGATAGATCTCTTAGGTTTCAGGGGGGGGGGGGGGAGGGGGGGGGGGGAGAAGACTGCCACTTTCGCTTCAAAGCATCGTGCTTCGGGAAATCTTTGCACTTTTGAGCGTTAAAGGATAAGATTGTTGCAGCACCCTGCTTAAGGTTGTATGTAACACCCTTCTGATGGTTGGACCACCATTGAAGGGGTGGTCGTCGTGGCCTTCGAGGCCACCTTGTGCAAACCTCGCAACAACTGCAAGTGAAACACACCGTCGGGTGCAGTATGACTTGATGAAGTGATACTGATACCTTGTGAACGAGCGAGTGCGGATCAACAATGTGGCTAGAGCTCGATGAAGGGGGCTAAGCTGCTGTGGTGGCGACGATTTGTGCGTGGTGATGGTGCCTTGTACGGTCGGCAAAGGGCCTGACCGTAGCGGTGTCACGACTTGCTAGCGCTCTTTGTTTGGTCTTAAGTGTCGAAACTTGGAGCGTCTCAACGGAGAATAAACTACAACGTAGAGTACTGCTCAGGGGCATGACGTCGTCCGATCAAACTCACAGGCACGAGCCTACCGGTGCTGGGATGAAAGTATGGTCTAAATAGTAGCCGGCGGAGGCAACCAAAGTTCAGGGGAGCTGTACACGCTGCATGGGTAGCAGGGTATCCTTCTTTGCACCTTCTGGTAGATGCGAATGTTCGGTTTCGGTGCTGCTTCAACTCCGTACAACGGGGAGATTTTGCGTGGCAGTGAGTGTCTTGCAGCGCAGACGCAATGAATCTTTGCCCCGCTTGTGGCATCATTGATGCCGTCATTGGAGGTTGAGTCGGAGCTTGGCGTCCACGCGTTTTGCTGGGTTGAAGGTAAGACTGCTAATGATTGGACAAAGCTACCTACCAATGTGTAGCGATGGGCGAGAGGGAATGGAGGGGGTTAGGGCTAAGCGGGGGGAGCCGACCAAGCGCAACAACAGCTGAGGGCGGAAAGCTGAGGAGTGATAATCAAGCCGGCCTGGTGATGCGTGGGGGCATGTGGGAGTGTGAGGCAAGAGAGAAGCACGCCAGGGGGGGAGAGGGGGATTCTCAAGCTCGCCGCAAAAGAGTTTTGTGTAGCGTTTTATGACAGAGGCACCCGATTGGAGGACCAGGAAAGTTCCAAACGTTATCAGACGTATAATGACATCGAAGGCGCAGCCCGTGGTCGTTTCTTTGCTTCCATATATGTCCTCGGGACAAGATCCTTCCATAGTGTATGCCTTTTTTGACGTGGGCTCGTGGGAGTACATTTGATTGGTCGCAGGTGCTGCTTGCCTGTGGGTGAGGCGCAGAGCGAGTCGTCCCCTTCAAAGACTACCAAGCAAGGTAGTCGTGTTGTATCACCATATCGATCGTGATGTCCCAGCGCTAGTGATGAAAACGAGTACTTATCGTAGACGGAAGGAAAAACAGTTCAACAAATATGTTTGAGAGCAATGGCCTTGCATGCGTACCCCATCGATATGGATGAAACATACCGGCATACGCGCAACAAGAGAGCCACGGTGAACGGAAAACAAGGAAGAGAAAGTTTGTTCGTGCAATTAATCTGAGATGGAACCGGAAACACGACCAAATGGATGGGTGAGGTGGGACTATACACACAACATGAATATACATTTCGATTATGGCCGCGGGGGATGACATACATCACGTGTGGTCGTGTTTTTATTTCTTGTTGAAAAATGTGACTAATCAAACAATGTTCTCACGCCCTCAATCTCACATCTTCGCCCCCGAGCCCTCTCATTTGATGAGATACTCGGGCGGGAACGGACACTGCTGTGTATCTTCCTTGTTTGCTCTCTCTCACCCCCCCGTACGTATCTATTTATTACCTTGCCGGAGCTGATGCTGCAAGTGTGGCTTTGGAACCGAATGAATACAAAAATATTTGACATCCAGGGTTGTGACAAAAATATCTCCACCATGTTCAAGCCTACCCATCCATAATGGCTCAACCAAACTCAACCCTCGACTTGAGTGTGGGCTGTTGTGAAATTGCGAAGAGTATTTATTTTGTGGACTCACTGGTCGTGGACTCGTGGTGAGGAGAGGTTGTGGCCCCAAATTAGGTATTCGCAAAGGCAAGCACGTTTGAATCCTCGAAAATGTTTCCTCCTGCTGCAAGATGAACATCTCTTGATTCACTACTTATGAAATCTACCACCACGTGTGCGTGTTTACCAAGCTCTTGAATGCAACACACGTACGCGGAATTGAGTGGGTTTTCTGGGGGCGCCGCAGAGTGGATGTACTGAGGGGTGTAAGAGACCGACATGAGAGCCAGGGCACACTACATACTACATACCGAAGAGCGCCGACCCAAAAGACAAGACAAGACGGACCAGACAGCAGCGCAGGGGCAGCTGCCATCTCTAAGCCCCTCGTTTCTTGGTTCCCGAGCGACGTGGGGATGCCATAGATGAACCAAGGGGCAACGGCTGCTTGACAGAGAGGGAGGAGGGCGGGAGAGACTGCGTGCAGGCCGCCGCGGTGCTAGAGAAAGTCGGAAATATTTGCAATCGAAATATATCCAAGAGCCGGAAAGAGAGACCGAACAAACAGGGAAGTTGTGTTGCTGATGATGTTGGCTCCGTCGAGCAGCAGCAGCACCAGGCGCCGGGCGGAGACACTCCCCAACAACAGCCGAAGGTAAGCCACAGCAGTGTTGGGACGTTGTTCACACTACACGTCGGCTGCTCGGTTCTGTTCTGGGTTGTACTCGGCCAGAGGATGGTGCGTGTATGTCACTGGCGGCAGCAATAAAAAAGGTGTGACCTTGTGCCCGTGGCAGCTTGCTGCTGCTGTGTGCAATAATATCCCCCATGCTACCTTCTTCCAAGCGAAGAAAAAGTCGCTCCATATGCGACGAACGCATCATCGCCGGCCATAGGTAGGCCTCTTGGTAGCACTCGGTTCCATATCATATGTCGCTATGATGTTGGGGAAAGCTGCCGGTGTCGCGAGATTATCGCTTTTTTGGGTTCTTTTGTCACACGCCGGTTGTTGACATGCAGAACAGCAGTCATTCGGCGACACGCCTGTTTGAGCTGGAACATGTACACTAGCTCACATGCTCATGTCTCCCAAAACGTTCACATATGTATGTCTGGTTTTATTTTAGCCAGCGCCCTTGCTACACGAACGCATGAAAATTAAAATTGGCTACAAAAGCGAATGGTGCTTGCTATAAGTTGTTGTCATCCGTGTGCTGCTGCTGTCGAAAAGGTGCCGCGGTGATTGGTGTGTCACGTTTGGTCAACGCTTTGGAAATCGGGATAAACGTACACATCCTGCAAGTGGCAGTTATTGTAGTATGTTCCGCTGAATGGCGGAATAACCAGGTTGATTCCGAAGTGTGCATGCTGCAGGGATTGTAAGGTGTACCTACCTCCTCGGGCTTGCTTGTGTACCCTTTTCTTGGTAATAGTGTTACATGTAGATCTTCTGATGGTGTAGCATATTTGTGACCACGGACCGAGTCTTTGCTAGATTTAGGTACTAGCAACTGACACGGGTTTAATGTAAAGGAAACAGCAACAACAATCCAGTGTATCCATCTACAATATGCAGCAGGTGCTGGGCAACCCTCGCTGCTGCTGTGCCGCTGTACGACAGTACGATACCTTACGCGTAACACCGGTCCGAACAAGTTGTTGTGCCAGGCGGGCAGTCTTTCTTGTAGCATGTCATGCGTGTGTGTTCTCTGCTTCGATAAGAAAAAATATACATTTGTATACGGGCGTGGAAATGCAAGCGCGCTGCTGCTTTCTGTAATGTTTTCCCTCTAACCTCTTACTGAGGTGTTCTTCCGTCCATGGCGGCAAGTTAGGCGGCATTTACACAACCACTTTTTTGTTTTCTCTCATTATTTGCCAATTGTTGTTGCCTTTCACCCTATTCGCTCTTAGCCTGTACCAACGTATGTTTGCAGGCGGCCATGGACGTTATCGTTGACGGTCCTGCCTCGCTGTAAGAACAGCTATAATAGTCGGAGCACTTTTGATACAGCGGCGACAGATGTGGCAGCAAACACCCCGATATGATATGTACAAGTGAATTCCCAGCGCTTTCTCCAACTTGGGAATCTGAGTCTGCCGTTATTTACTGACCCGCTGGTACTGCTAGCTTGAAATAGTGCTTGCCTATATACAATTGTATGCATATATGTCGTTTGTTGTGTCCACATATCAACGCGGCATACCTCCGAACGTGTGGTATACCGCTGTGTATGTGGGTGCTCTTCTGTATAAAGTGGATGGATGGGACCGGGTTGCGACAAAAAAGAAAAAAAGAACAGAACGGATTATTATTCTGTATTATATATCCCTCCTTCCCCTCGCTGCCTCGGCAAGGTTTTGCGTAGGCATGACACATAGCGAGGGGGGGGGTCTTTCTAGCGAGCAGGGCTAGACTCACCCTCAAGGGACCGATACCTCCTTGCTGCGGCGCACCCGCCGCGAGGCGTGCGTTGTGGTGGAGTTGGGTCGGCACTGGTGCGTCAGGTACAAAGGTGCAGATGCGCGGGCCTCCAGGCCGTCGGTGTAGGTAGCAATGCCCATCTCATCTTTATGCGCGGAGGCAGACGTCATCAGCAAGGTGGACGGGCACTATGTACACGGCCCTAGGTTTGCTAGAGGGAGCTGTACTGTCTCAGTAACCTGGTTTTGCCATCAAAGGAGGAGGGGACAGGTGGTGACGAGCTGATTGGGCTGGTTGACCCTTCGGCGCGAGAATTTTCAGGCCAAGAACCCTGAGTGCAACGAGGGAGAAAACGAGGAACCGACTGGGGAGGACAGCAACGAGAGCGTGTACGAAGCAGAGCGGGTCGAGTTTGGTCGTTGTAGGACTGGCCACAGCGGCACCGGAGCAGCGGAACTAGAGCAGCGGAACTGGAGCATGCGGACGGCATCGAACCGTGACGCACGGACAAAAATCTCTTGTGTTGTCAATTATTTTCCGTTTTTTGTTCCTGAATATAGGTGTTGGGTGTGTGTGATGACGTCACTGGTATTGTAGAGAAACGCGGCAGAGATGGCGATTACCCGGGTGCCTTAATTGTGTATCTGCATCGTGGAAGACCCCTTCAATGTGGAACGATTCTTAGTCAGTGTCGATGTTTGCACTGCTGTGCCTAACACAGATGATCTGGATAGATTCGGGTGATTGTCANCTGATCGTGGAAGACCCCTTCAATGTGGAACGATTCCTAGTCAGTGTCGATGTTTGCACTGCTGTGTCTAACACAGATAGGTGATCTGGATAAATTCGGGTGATTGCCAATTGCAATGATGGCTTTGGCCGGTTGTTCTTGTTCATTGCATGCCCTGATCATCGCTGGCTGAACTAGCGCCGGTCCCTGCGAACCGTGCTGATCGATGCGCCAAGCACATATCGGCATCCCCACTGCTGCATCGACGGTGTTTGGGGGTCTTTCGCCCACAACCCAGTCAGTATCGATCCCAAGATTGGCTCGTGGAGAGGCTCGACTGCAATGCCGATGGTTCGGTGCGGCCATAGTCTGTCCTGGATTCGAGTCATCCGACAACCCAAATTGACCATAACGCAAATTTACCATAACACGCGCGTTTTGTCATGAAACAAGGCGAAACGAAAGAGTGCTCGTGCGATACCTTACCCGACCCGAGTCTGATCACGCGCAGCAGTGTGTCGTGGGGGCGAGCTTGTTGTTGTCTTCACATTAAACCGTATGTCAGTTGCTAAATGCCAAAATCTAGCAAAGACTCTCAGCCCGTGGTCACGAAAGTGCTAGAGCCATCTGAGGATCTGTTCCTGGAGAAAAAGTGCCTGTAGAGGGTTTGAGACGTACGGAGCGGGGACGACGGTAGTGGGAGAGAGAGAGAGTTTGGGAGGGGAACTCTCGATTTACATATACGTCAGAAGTGGTAGACACAAAGTTTCCCTCCGGAGTGGGTTCGTGAGGGCACAAAGCAGTGTAATAAAAGGGTGGTAAGCGAGGTGAGAGTAGATGCAGGCAGCAGGACCAGCCCGCAGCCGGCGGCCAGCTGTCGTGTTTTGACTCCAACAGCCCGAAGAACCTCAAAGAAACCACAATGAACACGTTCGAATCTGTCCTGCTGTCTTTTGGACAGCGACCCGCAATGGTCCGAGAAAGGTGCGTGCCGCACGGGTCAATGCAGGTACCGGAGAACGGCGCGGAGGGGGTGAAGAGTTCGAGCAGATTTATCGGGGTGTCGCTTGAATCGGGCTTGAAACACGTCCCCGAGATGGTTCCCGAAGCCGAGAGGGAAGGTTCGGCCACGGTTCCAAATATTCTTCGTGAATGGTATATTTGTACTTGGAAGGATCTTTGGGTGTTCGTATGCATAAATCTTTGCGTGTTTGTAGATTTCCTCCGGCCGCCGCGAGGGAGAGCTCGCATGAAGACTCCCAATTCCCACGCGCACCCAAACATACACCCCGGCACACACACGCACTCCCACACACACCCTCTGCCGAAATGGTATCCCGACCACTGTTGTCTGCTACTCGAAAGAGCTATCGTATCACGTCGGGGAGCCAATGGAGTCTAAATCTATAATGCTGCGGTGATAGTTCCGCCCCTCCTCCTCCTGCGTGTGATGGCGAGGAGGATGGGCAACTTTTGACACGGCAGTAGCAGCAAACATCAACAACCGGCGGTCTAATAGCCCCAACGTCTCCGTCAATCAACCGCTCCGTCGAGCCCTTGGCGGCTATCAATAGCTGGCGTTCGTCAGGGGTGCAGAAAGTACCACAGGGGAAGGAAGAGGAAGGACATACCAACTCATAGGGCGAGGTCGGTTTAGGTCCACAGCCACGGAGCCTTGGGGCACCACCCACACACAAAAACCTCGTTGTTCTCAATCTCACCTAGAAGTACTTATCGCAGCCCTCGCCATCAGTTGTTGGTTGCACCTCGCCTAACCATCTATGTTGTGGGTCGTCCGTGGAAGGCCCGTGGTTGAAGAATTGGACCATGAGTATTTCGGATGTGCGTCTCTGATGTGTGTTGTCACGACGGTTAATTGATGTTTGCACGTTCATCCACGTGTGGTGTTCCACTCTCGTCTGGCTCACGTTGCCTCTTGCTTGAAACACATCCACACCACATGCACAGAGTCTACGCACGCGCGCGTGTTGACCCCTATTTAGCAATGCATTCGTAGCTGACAGCAACAGGCCACCCGTTTCCCTCCAAGTGTGGTAAATTGTGTGTGCAGCAACGTGCGCAAATTCAACTCGGACAACCATACCGTCATCTTTGCGGAACATGATCCTCGGAACAACCCGTCCATGCATAGGTCGTACAACCACGTCAAATTTACCGGGAACCGGAAACATAACCGCGACTTCTGCGGAAACTCCCATTCCCGAACCCAAACCCAGGGACGGATGGATCAGCCACAACCCAAGGGGCGCATATTACGCGGGAGGAACCCTTAATGAAGCCTTCGATATAGGTCATGCCTCGTCTTTGTTCTGCCACTGATTTGCCGCCGATATCCCTTCTGCGCGATTGGTTGCTGCTGTCACGTCGCAGAGAGGCCCAGAGCCGGTTCCGGGAACGTTCTTTGTCGACCTCTCTTTCGAGCTCGTCGGAGCAGTCGGATGCGGGCCGGTCTACTCGTACGACGTCCAGGAATGAAGATGGGCCTCTCGCTTCTGTCAGGCCGGAGTTCTTGTCGGTACATGGTCGCACGCTCACGGGTAAGTTTATTTGGAAAAATATATACAACAATCAAAGAATGACTGTTATTCCCCGTTCGAGATATAGCCACAGTCGGGGGATGATTTTATGTGTTTCACGTACGGTTTCGGTTCAAGATACGCCAGAAGCTTGTGGGAGGCGACAAAGCAGGTGCGGTGATATGCTTTGAATTGACTTCGCGAGTACGGCAATATACGTATCCCCTTCCCTTTGCGTTTGGAGTCGAACCTTGGGGAGGGATTTGCTCCACCCGAGGAGAGGTTTTCATTTTCAAGTCTTTCTGAAGTCGGATGGCCTGGTTGAGGTTTCGTGATTCACGACCTTTTGCGACATACCTCGCTCACGCCCCCCCCCCCCCCCCCCCCCCCCCCCCCCCCCCCCCCCCCCCCCCCCCCCCCCCCCCCC